ATAATTGAATTCGAACGGTCACACAATATAAAAAAGATCGCCAATCGATTTTGTCACATGTGACAAATTCAAATGTCAAAATACATGAAAAAAAAAATTTAACTTTTTTAATTGTTTTTTTAAAATCTAAGATTTCAAATTTTTAATAAATGACCCTTTACTAATCCCCTTCACTGCTTTCTTTAAAATAAAAAAAGGAGCAATTGCGGCGTACCACAATCACTCCAACTACAAAAAATTACGCGCTCGAGATACCCATAAGGATATTCGGAGTAGTAGTCACCAGGCGTTGTGCAATGCCAGCAACCATCACCCGTACCGCCACCTTCTTGGTCATGGCAGTACCGCGCCAGGTAAGTATGAAAATCAAATGTCACAAAACTAGTTCATTTATGTATAAATCCAAAAATTATGGGATTTTTTAATATTTTGTGCGACTTACTATTATAATTTTTACGGCAATTTTTTTATATTAATATTATTAATATTAATAAAATGTCTTCACCAAGACCGAAAAGACATCGTAATAAAAAAAATGAAGAAGATAGCCATATAAAAAAACAACACAAGAAAAAAAGTCATAAACGACAACGACATTCTGATAATGATTCAAATGAAGATATCAAATATCCAAAAGGATTTAAATGTATTATAATAATAATTGATATATAGTTTAATTTATTAAAACAAGATTTGATAATAGCAAAAAAGACTATTAATTCCATACATAAAGACTCACGCTATCATTATTTAGATATATCAGAAGATGATTATTATTTAAAATCAACAGAATTTCGTCTTTGGCTGAGAGAATATAAAGAGAAATTTTTTGATGAAATGAAAACTGAAGAAGCTCATCGATACTTTAAAAAATTTGTGAATTATTGGAATAAAGTTAAATTAGACAGTTAGTATATACACTTGTATAAAGTTTTTATAATCTTTTTATTGAAAAATAAAAAGTAAAAATAAAAATAAAAATATTATTTATAGAAAAATATTATGAAGGAATGCGTTCTTCACAATTAACTAATTCAGAAGGTACTAGATATAAATGGAATATTAATGTAAATCAGGATGAACTTGATGTTATTAAAAACTCTGTAGATAGACAAACAAATGTAAAGTTTGTTACTGAAGTACAAATGAGGTCAACAAATAACAGGAGTAATGATGAGTCAAGACCTTCTAGAGTAATTGGTAATAATAACATTCACAAATTAGATATATTTAATGGATTAGGATTTCTTATTATTGTTAGTAATATAAATATTTTTTCTTAGGCCCAACAATGCCACCTCCAACAACTAAAAGATCTTATGATATTGACGAAGGTATATTTGCCTGACTTTAAATATTCTTTTTTATTCTCATAATAAACTAATTAAAAAATTATGTATGAATGTTTTAATTCTTATTGAGATTTTCAGGAATGGATGAAGAGGATAAAGAACGTTATGAACGTTCTTTAAAAAAAAAGGAACAAAGAGAATTTAGAAAAACTCATAATGCTGTTTTGGATGAATTGTTACCAAAACCTACAGGTAGTATTATTTTATATATATATATATATATATATATAATTTTATTGTATATACTTTTACAAATTATATATAATTACATATAATATATAGGTAGAGAAGCAATGATTGAAAAGAAAAAAGTCAAAAATGCATATTATAGAAGAGAAACGAGTCCAGATGTTGAATTAAATGATGATGATTTAATTGGTGGTGGTGATGATTTTCAAACAAGGTAAAGTTGGGATTAGGACATACATTTGCGTATGATATGATGTGCATGTATTTAATTAATCATAAATTTTTGAAAAAAATAAATTAGACTTACTTCTTATAATCGATCAAAAGAAATGAAGGAAAAAAAAAAACAAGAGCAAAAAGCTGAAAAAGCTGAAAGTCTAAAAGAAAAGACTATCGCCTATCAAGCAAAAGAAAGAGATACTATTGAAATGTTTAAAAGAATGGCTGAAGAACAACGTAAAGCTGGTAAAGGACTATGGGGTCAAACTGATAACAAATAATAGATAAAAAATTTATGAAATACACATATATATAGGTAAGTCATATTTTAAATTTTAAATATATTAACAATAATAAGTAGAATACTTTTACTATTATTATAATATAATAACATATATAAATAAATTATAATTTATCAATTTATTTTGGGGAACAATTATTATTGTTAAATATCAAATTTACTGAATTGAAATAAGCAAACTTTTTTCTTTTGTTTATTAATTGATTTTTCAAAAATTTTTCTGGAAATATTATACCCAGTTTTATTTTTGAATTCCTATGAGGGTGATTTGTTATAGAATTCAGGATCTCAGGCAAAAATTTCCACTTAACTATTGTATACAATTGCAAGTTGTAATGTCCGCCAACTTTGACAGAACTTTTTTTGGCTTCAAATTCTCAGTTAGTGCATCGCCAATGATGGTTTAAGTCCTTAAAAAATCAATTCCAAAAGATGGGATGAATCCAATTATACATGTTGTACTTGGGTACTAGGTATATAAGAACTATTCTTTCCGCTCTTGTGTAGCTACACTTTCATTATCCATATTCAACTTGGAATGAATTCCTTACACAAGGTGCTTCAAAAGACAAAGGGCCCAAATGCAAATATTAGAACACACTGCTTGCTTTATCCCCCTTTGAATCAATGCCTATTGCACTGCATCTATATGTGTGGAGGTCAGTTTAACTTGACTTCTGTAAAAGAATGAACTAAATGCTATATAAATGTATTACTTAACAAAATAATTAAAAATTCTGAATTTTTTCAAATAATTCTTCCTTGAGTTCAATAATTTCAGGAGTGGTGCAATTATTTAAAATGCTAAGGCTCAATAATCACATATATGAGAGAATATTTTTAATAATTCCCTCAAAAACAATGCTATTGTTGATCTTTGAATACTGGAAAAGCAAGAGAATCATATACAGAGTAAAATTGATACTGAGCTAAAAAGACAACAAAATTAAGTGCTACTACAAACAAGAACAATAAAGTTTTTCATTCATTTAAAAAGACACAATAAACCATATTTTTTTATTTTATAATGATGAATTGTTCTTTGTTTGCTTTTTTTTTTATGTGGTTGTAAAGCTTGAATTTAGAAATTGTTTAAATTCTTCCACTTCTTTAGGAGAATTTTCAGGTATAACTACAATACCATCAGGGAAGATTTAATGGCACATCATCATCATCATCGTTGTCATCATCAAATCCATTTAATAATGGATCATCTTTTTGTGTTGGTATCAAATATCTTTTTCAAATATTATTATTAGTTCTAAAAATAAACTACCCAAATTATAATAATAGTAATAATAAAATAAATAATAATAATCACATTGTATCTTTCCAGAAAGAATTACTTAAATCAGGTACTTTAATAAAACAATTCTCCTGTTTCATATGTTCCAATAGTTTCTCTGAATTCTCAAACAATTGATTACATGCCATACATGAATTGAATTATTTAATGTTTTGTATCGAATATAATTTATTAATATGATTGTTTGATAAAAATCTAATCCTGCAAATTTTTTAAAAAGGATCCTACAAATGGTAAGAAAAAAAAAGATTATATAAAATGAGATGATAACATCTGCAGATATATGATTACCTATATTTTTTTTGATTTTTAATAAATCAAATCCATGAATATCCTTCATATGAAATTTGGTATCTTTGGTAGATGGTGATATTGTTTCACAAAATAAACATAATGTTGGCTATAATTCTTCTTCATTCCAATCGCCCCAAGAACTTTATATAAATTATGATTCATTACATAAAAATAAATAAATAAATTAACATAATAATGTGACTTACTCATCTATATTAGGATCTTCATCAGAATCATATTCTTTTTCAAATTCTTCCCAATCTTTTGAAGGATCCTATTTATCACCATCATCATCATCATCATCATTATTATTATTTATGATCATCATCATTATAATTATCACCATTATTATTTCACTTACTAAATATTCAGATTCTTTGTTAGACGGTCCATTATCTGAAACAATTGTCATTATTATCCTTTTTTTGTAAGAAGAAAAAATAAAATTTTTTTACCCAATCAAATTTGTTGCCAACTAGTAAGAGTCCATAAATATCACATGATTTTTTCTTATTAGATAAAATTTTCTATTTTAGTTACCTTTTATCCTAACTGCGTTAGTCATGATGCCCTCCACGAGAAGATTAAAAGTTAAGGCAAAAAATTTAATCTATATTTTCTTTCATCTATTCATTTCCTATTTCATCTCGGCCATTCATCCACCTATTTGAGTGAATGTTTGGTATACTGTTTGCAACATGAATTTAAATAATTTAAATATAAAAATATTAAATGAAAGAGACTAGGTCACAATAAATCCCGTTTTATTTATCACTCGCGTATTAAATATTAATATTAATTCGTGTTTCGCCAATCATGTGTAGAAAACTAATAATGATCTGCAGAGATGATCATAGTAAAATTCAATTGACAAACATTACATAGTTTGTTTTGAAAACTTTGTACAAAACGTGCATAAACGTCAAGAGATTCATCACCTGTAAAAACAATTTTTCAAAATTTTGATTCTGTATCCTTTTATTGAAGGAAGGGTCAGGCTTGTGCTTGTGAACTCCGCTTGTCCTTTTATAAGGCCCGGAGCCTCCCCACTTGTCTGCTGTGCTTGTGAACTCCGCTTGTCCTTTTACAAGGCCCGGAGCCTCCCCACATATGCTCTTCTTTTATCAATCTCAGAATACAGATGTTTATTTTGAAAAAAACACACGTATTATACACATGTAAATTCGATAAGTTGGGCATGATAGATATTATTTGTCACAAAAACTTTCCAAGGTAAGTTGCTTTATAAAAGTATTTTGTTTTCTTCTAATTGATGTTGCAGGTCTTTCAATCCTGAGATTACCGAGCCATTTACTTAATATTAGAATTTTGTTAATACTATCCAAAGTGACTATATTTGATATTGGATTGTTTGGAGCTTCTTTTTCTTCTTCTGGCACTGCAGCAATTATTTTCTCCTCATCAACCATTTCAGCAATTTCTATTCTGGCGTCAATCTTAATATAATTACTTGCCATGATATCATCAACATTCATTTGAATGATGAGTGATTGGACTGCATTTTCTTCACTTTCTAATTCATTTTCTAAATCGTTTGGTTCTTCATACATTTCCTCATTCTTATTAGGTAAAATACCTGTTCTTTCCAACAAACAGTATATTGTATCATTAGTGACACTATTCCATGCTTGTGCAGTACAATTAATTGCATTCAAAATATTTAATTTGGGAATAAAAAGGTAAAATTTTTTATTAAAATGGGAAAAAAATCTTTTTTACATTAAAAAAATATAATTACTTTGAATGATCTTATTATGCCCTGATCAATTAGCTGAAGATGAGAAGTTGTATTTGGTGGAAGAAAATATAATTTAATATTGCTCAAATCTCTTCACTGATGGGGTGAAAAATTATCTACTAATGATAAAATTTTTCTTTGTCTTTTTTTGCATCTTTTTATTAAATTATTTGCATCCATGATGAATCCTTCCAGTAATACCATAGAGGAAGCATTTTTTATCAATATTGTGAATACAATGTGGATTTTTATATTTATAAATAAATTCTGAAGGTAATTTATGAGTTCCGATTTCATTACATGTAAGCATTATGGTAATTCTATCTTTTGGTTTCTTTAATCCAGTAATAGGTCCACTAGCAAGAGGTTTATGAGGTTCTAATTTCCAGTAGAGACCAGTTTCATTATACACGTCTTCTAAACTTCTAAATTATAGATTGTAGCTCAGTTCTAAATGTATGTAATTTATTTATTGGCACACTTGCTGCTTCTCCTGATTTATAATATTTTTTAATATTTTTTAATATTATTTCTTTTTTTAAAATTTGCAATCCACCTCTATTTAAAAATCAAATAATAGATATTTAATAATTTTGAGTGAATTACTAAATGAAACAGTAGTTATATATAACTGGTTACAGAGTTTACATTTGGATTTGGCAGAAAAAATATGAGCAGAATCGGTTTTTAATTCTAGTAACCAATTATATGACTGCCTGTTATGTTTAGTAACACTCTATGATTTAATTATGCAAGAATTTTACTTTTATTTCATCAGTTTGCACCTTCCACTAATTCATCAACAAATAAAGGTATTAATGAATTTTTATTATAAAAGGCAGCTTCAATAACTCTAAAATTGTTTGTTTCTTTAGAATTAATTATTAAATCAATACATAAGTGGTGATCAATTTAAAAGACATTTTTTTAAAAAAGGTTTATTTGAAAGAATATTATTTTAAATGTTAATAAAAAAAATTTTTTTTTTAATATTATAAAATATTTTTTGATAAATCAACCATTTTTTATATAATTTAAAGTTTCTTTATTTCTTTTTTTTTATAAAACTAAATTTTAAACATTTGCTTATTTGTTTTTTTTTTTTTGGTAGTTTCAAATAGATTCTATTAGATCAAATGATAACACTACAGCAAAAAAAAAATTTTTAGCACATATAATTTTTTTACAAGACTGATTTATGCATTTTATTATTTATGTTAAAATTTTTCCTAGAATTAAAAAAAATCTGTTATATTGTTTTATTTATAATCGACTTTCTTCAACTGTTTTTTTTAGAAATAACAATAATTATCTTTTATTTATTTGTTTATCTGTTTTAGTTGATCAATAAATTTCAGGTCTCAAGACAGTTTATTTTAGTAATAATAAATGATTTAAATCTAACATAATTATTTTTCATGGAACCAGTTGAGGATTCTATTTTCTCTTTTATATAAATTATTGAATATATATTTCTGATATTGTGAGATTGTGTCCAAATCTCACAGTTTCAATGTATTTATTTAATACAAATACTTCAATTTCAATACTCTAGTTGTGTCCTATGCTTAATTACAATTTCAATTCTATTGGTTAAACCCTTTTAGATTAACCTCGGCAATACCATTGCCTTCCTGATAACAAATTTCTCAACAGTAGATATTTCTACCTGTCTGAGTCAAGCACGTCTTAAAATAAAGATAAAATTATATACAACTATACTTATCAAAGGTGTCCCCCTGGTAAGATAGTAATTAATTAAATTAATTAATTAGATAGGGTCAATAGACCATTTATTCATGAGTTTGTTTGCATCTTCAATTTTTTTGTAGGTTGCTATAGCAACATACAATCTTCCTGATAAATGTAAAGCTAGTCTTTCTATTTCTCCATATTGTTCTAAAATTTCTTTTAACACTTATTTTCTTATGTCTAATGGGATATCACTTATTCGAATAGATCTTTCAGCCCACTCATTGCAGTGTCTTGGGTCTTGAAGTAATTCGAAGTGGAAATCATTATTTTCAGTATAGATGCTGGTCGCAATTCTTGGTGATGGTTGCAACCATATTTGCGACATATAAAAATGGTTTGCGACACCTGGTTGCAACCACTTTGCGACCACTTTAGTTTCCTTTTTTGGATTGCGACATGGAACACTAATTTTCAGCAATTTTCTTGGTGCATGCTTTATTTGCTGATTCTGGATTATTGTATGTAGCTAATACCCGTTTTTTTTCATATTTGAAAGCACATTTGATTCCAATAAGATTTTTGGTATCATTGAGGATGTTTTCAACATATCTTATCTTTTCTGGTTTGTTTTTCCCAGGGATATTTTCTTCATCAATTGCAATTATATGACCTTTTTTCTTTTCAATTGTTTTCCATTCTTTTTCTTCATTCTCAGGGTTATCATTGACAACCTCAAGAAGTTTTGATTCAGTTGTTATTTGGTTATTGTTGGTTAGTGTATTCTCTTCATTTGGTTGAATTTCTTCCATATCATTGCCATTGATTGTTTCTTCTGTGCTAATATTTTTATTTTCTATATGATTTTGGGCATTGTTTATACGCATTTTTTTTCGTGTTTTAACCTTTGGCATGTTATAGGAAACCTAAGCTTATTTGAAAGCTAATAAAAGAACAAAAAGACTTGCTGGCAGAGTGAAATTATTTTAATTAAAATTATTGATTTTTGGATTCGTTTTAAATTCTATTTTTTTCGCGTTTTTTTTTTACCAATGTAACATGCCCAAATTTGGATATAAAATAACACGTGATTACCTCTACCCTTCCTTAACTTTACTTCACTTTCCAAAAAAATTCAATTACCAGAATCCGTTACCATTTTGACATATAATTTACTTGCATTTATATTTGTTGCAATATTATATTTATCAAAAAAAAAACAGAATTGGTTGGTGACAGACAGACAGACAGACAGACAGAATTATCTGTTGACAAAAGGATCACCAAAGAGTGATTTTAGAACATGTTTCATGTTTCATCTCTTGATAATAATATGGAGGTTAATACTAAACTATGAAGGATTTAGTGGAATGGAAGTAAGTTATTTGAGTTTAAACAAAGTTTTATAATAAATTATTAGTATTTAATGTATTTAATAATAATTTTATAACTCTATAATTGTGATTTAGATCATATATCAATAATATTTACACTTTTTGGATTTAATTTACCTTCATCTTTTCAATCTGATTTTTCTTCACTATCATTATCAATGATATTGTTTTTTGGGCCTTTCTATATAAAATATTTGGAGAAGTAACTACCTCTTCAGTTATATTTCAATTGGAAATTAAATGTTTGTGAACTCTATGAAATTATGAATTTAGTTTTATTAATATAATGAATTAATGATTTAAGGTGCTGTTTACAAAAGAATTTGTTTTTAAAAGTTGCATGTATGGTTTTTTACACTAGTTGATCTATCATGTGCAAAATTGTACTTCTTACACCTTGAGTGATTTTTTGAATGATCCTATGAATGCTGTTAATTGATGTTTTTCAGTAGCTCCAGTTGCAAGTCGATATCTTATAATTATAATATATATTAATAATAATATAGTTTATAATAAAACCAGATAATATAAAATTAGAATTTTCTTACTCAATTTCTCCAATATTTTCAAACAATTCTTCATCAGTGATAAATGATTTTCTTAAGTTATAACAAAGATCTGTCAATATATCTTGTAAAGCAAGACCTTTTTCTGTCTTGAGCTTCTGGATATCTATATATATGGAATAGTACATATATTTTTATATTTAACTTGCCAAGTTATTTACACAACTAATTAAATTTTACATAATGTCAAAAATTAAAACTAACTGGAATGTGCTGTTGAATAATCATCATAAGTCATTGTCTTTACTATTAATTCTATATCTTTAGTATTAGGTCTTCCTGTACAATTACATATAGCATCTTCATCTATGAATTCATTTGTTGCATGACATGCCTAAATAGCAAATGGTGTAGTTTTTTTCTTTTAGTTAAATAAAATTTTACAAAACGTTATGTAATAAATGCACAAATCACCTGTAAAATATTTAATACTCTTCGCATATCACCACATGAAATTTTAATTAATGCTTCTATCCCATCTTGGGAAATATTTATGCTATAATAATATAAACTTTAAAATTTTGCCCACCAGAAAGTTTGTAATAAATGGTCTTTTTTTTAAAAACAATTTTTTGTTACCGTTCTGCCTCAACTATGTCATTCAAACAAGAAATAATTTGATCTTTGCCTAAAGGAGAAAATCGAAATTTTGTACAACGAGATTGAACTGCAGGAATGATCTTGAGTGGATAGTTACAAATGATACAGAAGCGTACATTTTGTGTATACTTTTCAATAACTATGTAATTAATTTAATAAATGAATTGATTAGTTTGCAGTATATATAATATATATATATAAAGATATAAAATATAAATAGTTTATTAACTTCTTCTCAATGCATTTTGAGCAGGTTGTGTCATGGCATCAGCTTCATCCAGTATAATCAACTTTATATTCGAACTTAAATATTATTAAGATTGCTATTAATAAATTGCTCACATATATAAAAATACATTTGATACCGATCAAATTATATAAATACCTAAATATATTACGCGTACTTGCAAAATTTTTAATTTGTTCACGAACAACATCTATTCCTCTATCATCAGATGCATTTAACTATAGAAATTTAATTATAACTTAAAAACTTGTATGTGTTTACTTTATATCATATAAATAATTTAACCTACTTCCATAACCATTGATTTCCATTTATCTCCATATATTTTATTAGCAACCGCAAAAATTGTTGATGTTTTGCCAGTTCCAGGTGGACCATAAAATAATAAATGTGGAAGTTGATCTCTATTGATATATGCTTCAACTTGAGATAATAATAAAGAATAAATGATGGATGATATTAGAATTTCAAAAAAAAAATTTTTACACGTCACAACTTTTAAATATATATATGTAAGCATGTATGCATATAAAAACAACTTGTTGTAATGATATTTTTATGTGATAAAAGCTCATCAAGCGTTTTTGGACGATACTTTTCAACCCTAGACACAAAATTTTTCAGTTATATCTATTATTTTAAAAAAATTATATATATATATATGTATGTGTGTGAGATAAAAAGATACCAAGGTAAATTATCTTCTTTACAAGCCGAATCAATATCCATTGGTTCGTGTTTTTCTTGATACATTATTATTTTTTTTATTTTTTATTTTTTATTTTTAGAAATTAGTCGAGCGATTTTGTCACGCGAAACGATTTTTTTCAAGTGCTTTTTCCGAATTTTTTGCCCACCAAATTTGACTTCAGGACTTCTAAAAAAAAAAAATCTTGGTGTTAAAGTTTATCAACCAAATTACCGCATTTGGAATTAATTATGTATTTATATTGAACATCGCCTATTCTTCTATGAATTTATTTATATTGAAAAGAACAAGAATTGTAAATAAAGAGACAAAGAAAGAAAATTTCTTAAGATTGATAAATTTATTTTATTATGTGATCAGCATAAGACAGATACAGAAAGGATAGAAAATAAGGATGTTAACAGTTCATTCTTGGTAAACCCAAGTCCGAACTAGTACTAATGTTGTTTGACGAAATGCCACCAAAGTTGTAAATCTATTACGTCAAATTCGCTGCCATCAATTCAAGTAAACTTACTTTAAAATATAAAAGCTCGCAAAAAAAAAATATATATAAATATATATATTCTCTTCAATTTCCCTTGTGTATCTGAATCTCTCTTTGTTTCATCAGTTGTTCCCAAGGAGCTAAACTTTCTTTACTGAATACACACTCACACATTTACTATTAAGGTCGAACACTTCTTATATTAATAATGATAAAATTATCGCGTGCTTCATTTCATGTTCCGGTATCAAAACTGATTTTAGTGTAGACCTACTTGCACAAAATTATTAGAATATTGATCAAGTTACTTTTGCAATGATACCTTCTTTATTATATGATCAATTTAACTTGAATAGGGATAGGTCCTCGCTTGAAAAGCAGGGGAGAATAATAGATAGTTAACATACTAATAAATAAAACTCGGATAGAATCATTATTTAAAATCGTTGTCTTTATTTCTTTGCTTTAAGGCGCTTTGATAAAGCAACAAGTGTAGTGCCTTGGTAAAAGTTAACAATTGTGGAGTTTTGGTAAAAAGTCATATTTTATTTGCTTTAGCGAGCAAGCAAAGGTTAGGACTAAGGTTGGTTAACTAGTGAGTGCTAATGAAATATCGTCCAAAGGAATACTGGTAGTATTATTGTAATCATAAACATAAGGCTGTTAAACAAGCTACTCAAGTTGTTTTTCAAACAAACCAAAGCGAGTTTGCAATCGACCAATAAATGTAAACAACTGAAATAAATCAATTACAAGTGAATAAAAGAAACTTTATAGAAGCCTTTGAGCTTTGTAAAAAAGTTGTTTTATTCATCTGGCACCATTAAGTGTACTTACAAACAAGAAAGAGGCAACAAGCGAGAACCAAAGTAGATTCATAAACTAATTAATTGACAAGAACCGAATTATTATGAGTTGCTTGCAATTAACTGACAAGAATAGCCCAAAAGTTAAGCCACAAAAGGCAATACTACCA